TTAGAACAGAGGACTCTGATCTTTCCCTACCTTCCAGCTACCACCTTAGGCATAGCCATCATGAATGTTTCAGGGTTCAGATCCCAAAGGGGTCTATGGTATCCCAGACATCCATCCCAGCATGGCACACCTGGATCACCATGAGAACAGCAGAGAATGACCTCTCAATAGCCCAGCAGCTGAAGCCACATACTCTTCTGCTTGGCTTCAAATGAGCAAGAGCAACAAGCCCAGAGCCAGGCTGGATACAGATGTCAGCCCCAACCTTCAAGATTCTTTCAACTGGACTTCCTATGGACTTTACCAAAGGTACCAAAAAAAACCTGGATCTGCTTTCAGGATCCACCCGTTTGCCATGCTATTGCTCCCACCAAGCACCACTTCAGGAGTCACCAAAGCGGAGTGTGATTTCCCTTCCTGTGCCAGCAAGGGAGCAAGGACAAGGAGTCGGGGGTTTCCCTGGTCCTTCTCAGCTCCACCAAATCAGAATAGCTGCAAGTTGTTCCCATCAAATATCACCTTCTCTCCCTTTTCCTCACTGTTGGCAGGGGGCTGTAAGAGTTAGGGCAGGTGCTTTCATCCATCAGGCAGCACCTGCCAGATCCCTGCTCTGCTCCGTTACAGTCTGCGGCAGGGCTGGGACAGAAGCCAGTGTTTTGTTCCTCGTCCTTTGACAACATTCCCACACTGCTGTCCAAGGCTTTCCTTCCAGGGGAAGGCAATGTACGTCCAGCTCATTAACAATAAGGAAGTGTGATGGCATTGAAGCACAAGCATCTTTGCAAGGAGGAAAATTCCTGCACATCTCTGGGGAGAGTCACAGTGCTCACAGATTTCCCCCTAAACCAAATGCCGTGTGGTGCTTTCCTGGCAGTTACCCTCTGCAAAAGGTGACTCCTGGAAGGGGGTCCAGTGCAATAACTTCTCCAGCGTTGGTCCACCTGTGAGAACCAACCCAATTCTCTGGGTCAGTTCTGCATCTGATACACAACATCCCACAATAGCCCTGGAGGCTGTAGCAATGAAGAATTTAGGGCGCATGGGCAGTGCATATCATAGGGACATACATGAGTGTTTTCCACCACTTATTAAGGCCTAGGGGAGGATTTTCTGGGGGAGGTTTACTAGAGGGAAGAGTAGTTGAGGAGGGTAAAATGGGTGTAGACTATCCTCCATTCCATTAGCTTTATCTGCCACGGTAAGGGGTTTACTCACCTTGCAGGGAGCAAAGCCCATCTACTGTTGCTCTCCATCAACTCTGCAGCTACATCAGCTGGGCAACCTCCCCTGCAAGCAGTCTTCTGAGGACAAGCTTGTGTTTCTGTGTGTTTGTTGTGACTGTGGACATTACCTGCTCTCATTTCGCCTTATGGTTCTCCTGCTTTCTGGTGCAGGAGCAAGACAGTGGAAAAATATCTCAGGAACATGTGTGTTTGAGGGAAAATGGAGAATGTTCAGTGGAGGTGGTCCATGGGCATGTAAGTCTGCTTTCTCTGAAGTAGCTGATAAAAAGTTTTCCAGACAGCTCAGTGACAATCCCACCCTTCAGTGTCCTCCACGTAGTGATGTAGGAACCTCACTTCCTCTGTGTAGTCATGACCATGGGTAAAGGCTCCTCAATTTTCTAGGCTCTGGTTCTGTCAAGTCTGTGTCTAAGACCTTCTTGGGTAGAAGCTCCCCTTTGCCACTGAAGAAGATAATTCATTTGTGAGAAGCCGTTCAGTATAACAGCCTCAATTCAACTTCCTAAAAAAAAAGCAGGCATGTTCAGACACCAGATTCTGGTTTGGGTCTTTACAGAATTGGTCAACAGAGACATCTTGAAAGCTGATCCAGCCACATGCCTTAAGCACATCTCAGCAGTGCAACAGTTCATTTTGATGTGCCCAATCTCAATCTCTTCCCCTGCAGCACGGGATGAAGGGACAATCAACTCCCCTTTTTAAATAGGACTGGAAAAGTATACACTTCTCCTGACAAAACTTGAGAAGACATCTCCCCAGGATGGTGTGTGGTATCAGCTTTCTTTCCACCTCCTTCAGAGACATCTGGCCTCCTGCTTTGCTGCTCTGTGCCACAGAAGACTTTTAAACAGAGCCCTGTCCCACACGTGTTTTACATGGCAAGGTTAAGGGATTGCTAGGAATTATGATGGGCCAGTAGCACCCTTCCCTGCTGTAACTATTATTTATTCTCCTACATGCTAATTTCAGCTGAGCCAGTACCCTCTTACACCTACAATCTCAAGACCTCCACTGCAATATTTAATACTGTTGCATATTCAGTGAACAAGCTTGAAAATTTTCCACTTACTAAAGCTTCACTTTTTTTTTTCTGCCCTTCCCCCTCCCTCTGGGAGGGTGATAAATGACTGAAACCCAAGAGATGATAGAAGCTCTTCATTCATCAGCTGTGGTCACAACTCCTCCTGAAGTTGAGTGTGGGAACCGCATCTGGGACAAAGCGTGGCCCTGAGCCCGGATGTGCCTTCTCCACCTTAACAGCAGCATCTGCTTCCCAATATGGCATGCTCTGCACTATCTCAGGCACAACTTGAAACTTTGCAGCTGTTGCCACTCCAAGTCTAGCTCTAAATCCAGCAAGGAGGGAGAGGCTGGGATAGTGGGGGAGTGCAGGGCACTCATTATCCTCTGCACAGGGATGGGAACGAAGCTCTCATGCATCATGCAGAAACACAAAACCAAGCCAGTCCTCGCATAGCAAGGGCCAGGCAGTCCCAGAGCAGGTGAACAGAGCGTAGGTACCAATATCTCATCCTGGGGAAAAGTCTCCTCTTTCTTTCAGTCTTGTATTTGTAACTCCAGAGACCTATTCCCTAAGCACAAAAGCTCTGTTGACAGACTGGGGGAAACTTAAGCATTTGCCACCATAGGCAGTAAGAATTGTAGGGTCCAAGTTTATCCACCCTGCCCAATGTTGGGCTATAGTTCGGTTTCCTCTCTTTTGTTCTTCCCCCTGTTCAACTCCCAAGATGGAAGGAAGCATAGGCAAGATTATTACCCAGACGGGACTCATGGAGGCCTTCCAATCACACTTGCTTTCCAAGTCATAAGGAGGTGAAAAGCAGATGAGAGCCCAGCCACGTGCCTGAGCTGGAGGTCAATTGTGATCGGCTGGATGCCTGGATCAGGGGGCACATAAAGTCAAGGAGGATGTTCCTGAAATTGGGGGAATAATGTGCCCCTCAATGTGAGGAAATTCAAAATAGAAAATCAATAAAATAACTAGACAAAAAATATCAGCTCAGTCTTCCTGGGAAAGATCCAAGGGTGAAAAACTAATTCCAGAAAATGAGGTCAACCTTCTCTAATAACCATAGCTACTGTTTGTGCTCTAGTGAGACACGCATGTGTAGAGTTTACCTCTCTTCTATTTATGGATTTGGCCTCTTGACCTGGAATTCAATGCCTCTCAGTTGATCCTGTCGTGTTCTGAGGGGCCGTATCCTGCATGTTTATTGCATTGGCATCAGCGTTGTCTTTATCTAAAGGGTGAGGGAAAAGTCCAGGGCTGACACTAAATCCAGGATCCATCCTTCCTGTACTTCTACACAACTAAATTTCATGCAACTTCTCACTTTATTTTTTTCTGCCTTTTTTCCCAGAGGGGACCTCTAAAGCTACTGTAAACTCGCATGGAGAGCACATCTGTGCAAGCCCCACAAAGGATGGCTTTTTTTAGAGCAGGAATCATCGCATCATGAGGTGGGACTTCGGGGGGATTTGGGACATTTGGGTCTTTACAGCATTGGTCAGCAGAGACATCTTGAAAGCTGATCTGGCCATGTGCTTCAAACCCATCTCAACAATGTAATAGTTCATTATGCTGTGCCCAGTCTCAATCTCTTCTTCACCCAAGAGTGAAGGAACACTCAAATCCCCACTCTGAGATGGAGCTGATACCCACAATGACTCTACCACCAGTCGGAAAGGACCATGCAAAGATGGTGGAACATGTTGGGGCTCTCCTTGGTAGAACATCAGACTCAGTAGTGCCCACTGACAGGACGAGGGGCAATGGGCACAAACTGCAGCACAGGAAGTTCCACCTCAACATGAGGAAAAACTTTTTTGCTGTGAGAGTGACAGAGCACTGGAACAGGCTGCCCAGAGAGGTTGTGGAGTCTCCTTCTCTGGAGACCTTCAAAACCTGACTGGACGCGTTCCTGTGCAACCTGCCCTAGGTGATCCTGCCTTGGCAGGGGGGTTGGACCAAATGATCTTCAGAGGTCCCTTCCAACCCCTATCATTCTGTGATTCTCTGACTCTCTATTTCCACCCTTGACTCCTCTATGCTCAGCCACTTCAGCCCAGTCCTTGGACAGATATAAATCCCTCTCCCAAATGACTGCAGCCAGAGTGTCACCAAAGTTTGCAGGGTCACCCTTTGTCTCCTTGTGCCAGGTTTCTTCTCAGGGTCTGGACAGCTGGATTGGTTCAAAGAATGTCACAGGCTTTGTGGCATTTGGTGCAGCACCTTCCCAGAACTGCCAGGCATGCTTCTGTCTAATCCAAGATCATACCAGGAAGATGAAAAGAGAGGTATTTTCCTCTTGTGTCACACAGTGGTGGCTCAGTGGCATTGTGGTGGCCTTGAGGTAGCGAGATCTCAGCACAGGAAAATTGACCCAAGGAGGGGACAAGAGGGGGGCAGCAACACCAGTTTTAGTTTATTAGAGATGTTCAGGCATTAGCACCGTGAGGAAGGCTGGAGCCCTCTTTAGCGTTTCCAGCACTTCATAAATTTCAGAGAGATTTAAGGCAAGGAGCCAGATGTTTGGGGAGAAATTCTGAACACTAAAGACAAGTGGAAATTTTTTTTTTTTTTTTTTTGGTAGTGTGTATTTTTTCCCATTAGTTGCAAGGCTATATTTAGAAGAGGAGGGGGGAGAGAGAGAGCGCGCAAGAGAGATTAGGCATTTCTTCATATTCTGTAGTCACTCCAGTTGTTCTGCTTGTAGGAACAGATGTCTCTTTCCTGGGGCGATAGCATTCAGGTCCACGAGGAAATTTTCTTATCAGCAGCTCCTCTAACATAGAAGAGAGATCAGGCCAGAGGTAAGTCGGTCCACTGTGGAGGGGGGACCATTGCAGTGAATGCTTTGGGATATCGGTCAGAGGGAAAGGGAGGCACGCACAGGATCAGAGAGGTGACAGTGGGCAGCCAGGAGGGAATCACTGGAGACCGGACCTCAAGTCTGGCGTGAAAAGCATGGCTATTGCAGCAGGGAGTTGTGGCAGGGATGGCAAGGTGGAGGGGGTCCTGTGCCAAACATGTGGATGAGCAGCTCGGGAAGCCCCTGGCTCTGCCCGTGTGGCAGGTGTGGAAGTTCATCAGGAGCTGCCCAACCTGGAGAGCCAGGCTGCACCAGCAGCTGCAAGGGGCTGCGAGGGGCTTCCCCTTCCGTCAGCTTCTCTAATCTTGGTTTTGGGCCAATGCCATGTTATTTGGTTGTTCCCTGAGGAGATGAGGGGTGACGAAATGTGTGTGAAGGTACTGGCTTTCCCCTGTTGAAAAGCACTATGCCAGTTCTCGTGAGGAGTGGGGTGATGTCCTGTTTGTGTCTGTGTCTTCCTAAGCATAATGAAATTTGGGGGAAATGCATTCAGGCAGGTTTTGGAAGCCAGGAGAGGAGACAGTTCATTACCTGGCATGGGGTCAGCTGTGACTGGGCATGTTTTACCTCTGTTTGGCTGTTCCACAGGGTGCAAGCTCAGCTCTACGAAAGACATTGTTTTCTTTCTCTTAACCCGCTTGCTGGGTCAGTCTAAGGAGAAGCAGATCCTTTCCAAGGTCCTTAACCAGGCCCCTTCAGAAATCCTCCCTGCTTTCATAGCAACACACCCACTAACAGCTCAAATTTTTTCCAGGTTAACCTGGAAAATCCAAAATTTGCAAATCCCTGAAAGCACTGAGAGCACAGTGCCTGGCAAAGGAAACCACAGAAACCAGTCTCCCAAAGGGTTAAGATCTGGTTATCCATCCTGGGATGCCTCAAAAAATGTCAGCTCCCTGACCAGGTCTCCCATCTCACTGCATTCCCTGGGCCAAGACCATGCATGGCACCGTGCCTCAGCTTCTGCCTGCAGCCAAGACAGCAGTATGACTTGAAGTGAGTGCTGGGCTGCAGAGCTGTATCTGTGGCTGGCTGGTCTGCTGCTTATGGCACACCTGAGTCCTCTCCCCACTGCAATCACCCCTTCATCCCTACCTGCGTTTGTGACACTTCTGTTCCCTGTGCTCCCTGAGGTGTGAGCATCACCTCTTCTGTCCTGCATCCCTGGGTGATGCAGGGCCCCGAGTATGCCCCAAGAGCAAACCTCTGTTGCTGCTCTTCTCCCACTGTTCTCCTCCAGCTTCTTGCCAAGGGACAGAGCAAGCAGGCAGCTAAAGGCAGAAAGAGCAAAAAGTGCTCCGAGATTGCTAAATTTACAATTAAAAATTTCCTTTTCAAAAACAAGCAGCAATGCACAGGCCAGATGTTACTCAGTTTAATCTCCCGTGAGGTTTTTTGCATTTGCCTCTAAAGTTCCTGTATGTGCCTATATGGCAACTCTCACCGCAGGGTTATCCTTGTACATAGCCACGATAGCTTTTATTCCAAGATGACATTTCTAGCACCATGTCTCAGGCACCCTTGAAATGCTAGATGGATTACTGTAATCCCAATAAAATCAAACGCATTTCTCTTGTACTGTTAAAAACAACCTCCCAAGAAGACAGGCACAAATCCATCTCTACTAGCTGGACCTATAAAACGCCAAATCCACATGTTTCTTTCCAGATTTAGCTTTTTTTAAAAAAAAATAAACGCTCTTGGAAAAAAATTCCCCCAAAAATACGTGCTTTCCCCTCACATTATACTGGTCCACAAAGGACAGAGAGGGATACACACAGGAAGTCATGCTCTGATTTCTCTTACAATATCAGAGCTAGAAATACACAGCATCTACTGTAGAGATGTCACTCCATGCTCCCTCGTGACAGATGGCACTTGGTGTTAGCCCTGACAGGCTATGAGGTATTGGTCTTTTAAATGCTAACAGCACAATTTATAGAGCATTCACCAAGACACTTAATATTTCTCCAAAGCCAAGATCTGGTAATGCAGAAAAAAGGGACACGAAAAATGCAATGGTATCAACAAGGCATTGTAGACATCTAAATGTTTCAGGAATGACTTTTCTATACAGTGTCATATAAACAAGCAAGTGAAGGTGTAAAGCCTTTATTAGCACTTCTATGATGACCAGTGCTAGCAAGTCTCATCAGAGATGTGCTGAAGGACCTCTGGGTGCCCACCACTGCTGGGTGCACTTTTGTGGGTCTGGAGAGGCAGACCAGGGAGCTGCAACATGTATGTACAATCCCACTTCTTCTATTTTTATTTTTTTGTTTGCTTGTACATGTGCATCTGGACTCGTCCTTTCAAAGGCTGAGGCACTACTGCTGCAAATGGGCACAGGGGAGGTATAAGCTCATAAGAAATCTGCCAGCACATGAATTTCCTGCTCTGTGTGTCTTTGGGAGCTTCATTTCATATTTTCCACGCATGCTCAGGACAGGGCTGAGGGAGGGCTATGCTGATCTTTCCAAGTTTTAAATAGATTGCCTCTGGGGTGTCCAGGACTGGTGATCCATCACCTGGTTTTAAGCAGCAGGTTCAAGCCTAGATGCAGAGAGTGGGTGTCTGGGCCAAGCCAAGTGGCCTCCCTCCCATCTGGGTCACTTTGCTGCATGAAGAAGAGGAATGCAGTTTGGACAGTTGTACCCTCCCTCTTCTAACTGGCAGTGATCCCTCATGGCCTAGGATGTCCTGTTGGAATAAATCATTGCTTGGGTACCCACAGACTATTGCTTGTTCCAAACTGAACCAGGCATCTGGGCTCCTCACTCTCCAAGGACCTGATTTTGGCCTTAGCCTTGCTGGAGAGCATGGGGTCCACCCATGTGCACACACAGGATTGAAAAGAGCATGGTGTATGGAGCTCAGATCACAACTCATGGCAATACGCATTGCCCATCCACAAGCAGGGCCTTGGAGATGAAGGACCACATGTAGGTTAACTGAGCACATCAGGCAGCGGCCAAATGGCTCAATAGCACAACAGTAACACCAGCCCAACAACCAACATTGCATTAGCCTCCACACATCCTTAGTCTGTGATTGCTTACATGACTTGAAGGACAACCCCTGGCTATGCCTGGGACTGGACATCCAAGATTTTCCTCCATCCAAATGGGAAATCTGATTCTCACGGGCAACTTCAGAGATGCAAAAGTCAGTAGGGGGGGTTAATGCCTCTTTGCTTGTGCAAAGTAAGTTCATTTTGCCCTTCCAGGCAACAGCTGTAGTTCAGCACATGACCATTCAACCTGCCGGGCAAGGTAGGAGTTGCTGGCCACCACAGTCTTCATTACACATGGGCAAGCATGACCTAGCTGACCGGGCAATTAGCTATCATCTATCCCCAGTCAGGTTGGTTCTGCCATGAGAAAGATATGATTTGGTGTAAATCTGAAATTATTTCACTTCAGGCAAACAATGAGAGGCGGGTGATGCTCTCTCTTTGCAAAGAATTCATCCAGCCCTGTTTGCAGTGTTTCAATGCCAAAGCAATTGTGAATTCACAGGGAATAAGACCTAAATGAAAGGATGTGTGGTGGAGAGTGCTAGCAAACTCCTTGCAGGTTCATATTAGAGGAAACAGGAATCATGCTCAGTGCCTATTTGTGTTTGTCAGCTCTGATTTCATCCATCATCCTAATGTTTTTCAATCTGTTGGCTAATTTCAACCAAAATTTGGCAGAAGGGAAAGATCACCTGAATTTTCAGGAAATTAGGCAGCAAAGAGAGGAGAAAGTCAAACAAGTGTTGGAGCCAAGTGAAGAGCTGGAACGTGAGTGCTCATTAAGGCAGCCAAGTGTCCACATGAGAAAAAGTTATAAAAAGCATCTCAACCAGGGCAAAGCATTCATACAACCCTGCAAGCCACCGCAAGACATGAAACCGTAAGAAGACAGGTGTCATTTAATCTGATACAGAACTATGTGTCCTGTGTCTCCAAAGCAGCTTTTATTTTCACAGCATTGGAGGGGAAAGAATAATCTGACTCTGGACTGGATTTGACTATTTCCAACTGCAATTCCCCAGCAGCTGGATGTTTGACACACTCTGTTTGGCCGTCAGACCTGGAGACTTCTAGGAGACATCAATGCCCAGGAATCAAGTGAGAGCACAGATCTGATGCCTGTAAATACGGGATCTTCCCCACCCTGGGAATAGCCCCATTTCTGCTTCAGGCTGGGAGCTTTCTCCCCCAGACATTAGCTCCCTTCTCACAGCCTGAGGGCTTGATGGGCACCAGCTATTCCCTTTCAGCAACTGGATCCATTCCCCTTCTCTCCCTTTCTCCCTCAGTTCCCACTGTCAGCAAACCCACCCTCCCCAGGCTGAGCATAAGGCACACAGAACAAGCTCTACCATGTATAGGGCAAGGTCCTCGACATGCACAAAAACACCATATTTGGCCAGTTTGAGCCAGAGTTGAGTGAGAGCTTGCCAGAAGGAGAATCATACAATTTAAACTGAAAGAGAGTGAGTTTAACCCTTCATTTATAAATATGACGATAAATCACCCAGGGAACTTTAAACACGGGAAGGCTGCAAAACTAAACACATGCTGCTGCCATCCCAGGCAGCAGAGTAACACTAGCAGGCAGGACAGGGTGAGGGGGACGGGGGGGTGATAGAGGAGCCAGGTTGCCATATCAGATGTTCTGATTCAGAACAGGGAGATGAGAAAAGCTGAAGCTGTTTATACTAAATAACACTCACTCTCCTTCTCATCTTTCCAACCCAGTGCATGGGTTTCTTGTTCTCTGCCCCTGGGTCTGCGTGCAGAGATCCTATCTGCACACACCAATAAATAACCCTTTTGGAGAGCAGTTAGGACAAAGCTCAGTTGCCTGACCTGCCTTTTCTTTTGTATCTCATTATTTGAATTGCTGAGTCAGATCCAAAATCCCCCAAGATCAAGGAAGCAACCCGCATTGA